AGCTTGCAAGTCATCCGCTGCTTCTGGTGTCTCTCTATATTTCTTGGGGCTGCTAAGACTGTGTAAGATAAGGTTTAAGGTGTCAGATCATGCAGTGAGTATCACTTGAATCCCAGCTCAAACGAATATAGAAGACACTGAAAATACGGGCGAGCTAGGCCTTGCAACAATACTTTGCAAAGTCTGACAATTTGGAATGCTTTTTGTGCAAATAAGTTGCTTTTCGGTTAACAGGCCTATTCTGTCGAGTTAAAAAATTTACCTAGGAATTAAATTTTACCATTCAGTTAATTTTGTTATCATTTCGTATTCTGAGCTCACTGTTACCCTGTAAATTTTGTTACCAGCGAAATAGGAGGTAACAAAAATATCTGCTGTTTGATTTTGTGTTGTAAGTTTGAGAAAAAATAAAAACCCGAAATGGGTAGGCATATTTTAAGCCTGGAATTCATTGAAGATGAAGAAAAAAGTGCAAAAAGCCGAATTTTAAGAAGTTTTCGAGACAAGAAATAGCCCCTTATTTTGTTAGACTTCGTTTTCATTCAGCTTTTTTGTTGTCCAGCCATATTTTCAATAATCAGGTCCAAATATTTATGAGTTAATAAACAAATTAATAAAACTTTTTAATTTTTTTTGTGAACCGTCTTCCATTTCGATGTGAATATTTTTCTCTTTACTTTATCAACTGGCAAATGTAATTTGACATGGACGAAAAAGGCAGTGCTGCCAATTTTTTTTTCAAAAAACCAGTTCGCTAACCAGTTCGCCAGAATACCAAATTCAATTACGGGTGTTTACCGGTAGCAGTGAGAATAGGCCTGTAAATGGTTAAAGAAAAAAAGTATTATAATGTTTAGAAAAGAATTAGCGCATAAAACTTGCTACCCAACGTCGGTCGTTGTTGTTAAGAATTCATGATGAAATAAAGCATCACAAACCTTAGCGGTGCGCAGTTTGCTTTTGTTTGCGCATCAATGCATTTTGAAACATGATACATCGTTTAAGTTTACACAGTTGCATTTAGGAATGCGTGCCAATGTATGGTTGCTTTGAAACTGACGTTTCGGAACTCTCCCGATGCCGAGTGTCCGACTTTGGAAAGAAATTAAATGAGTGTATAAAATCGAGCGAACATTTCGCCAACGCCTGGTTGGGACACACGAAGGAGCACAATGAGCCAGCTTTATGGAAGGCGAATCTGAGAAGGTCACGTAGGCTAAAAATCGTAATGTCGTAAGAACTTTGAAAATGTAGGGGTCCTTATTCCAAAATTCAAAACAAGCACAGAATTAATAAGCATAGTCACCAGAAAGACAAAGGCCAGAGGTGACGAAATTCATGACTTGAATTATGGGCTAAAGAAATGCCAGATGGTTCCAAGCCAACATTAAAATTATGTATCGTTTTAAGAATGGAAAAAGTCAACTGAGGATGAGGAGTGAAATTAGCTGTTCATTAAACGAGGAAAATGCTTGGTCGGAAACATCATGGACTGTATGATAATCATCCATATCTGTAGCGTGATGAACAACAGTCCTTTTAACCGAATCAGTCAGATGTTCAATTCAAGAGAACGTACTTAGCCTCTCTTCAGTTGACCCCTCTGATCAATTAACTGAATCCCCCAGCCCTTTCTAATAGATTGACCCTCATCGACAACATAGTGGTCCGAGTCTCCGTTAAGTGCTCTAGAGTGTATGTAAATGTTTTCCGTTATCAACATACACGTAGCTTGTTGAATTTTGTTGTGCTGGAATCCGCAATGAAAGAAAATCAGTTCGAAAGTTATGATAATTTTATTGAAATGCAAAATAATGAATTTCACCCACCTTATAAAATTGAGTAGAAAGTCCTGGCTTACACACTTTTTTTTTTGCAGATGTGGTGCATGGCCATTTTTGTGGATTAAGCAGAGCACACTTACGTCCCAATCGCCGGATTTGGTCTGACCATATTTTGCAAAGAAGCATGCGCCTTAGTCAACTCATCACCGCCCTGAGCATCTGTCACTAGATCATCCCTCTGAGTCCCACATGAGTTTGCCCCGGTCTTGAAACCTTCTGTAAGTCGCCATACCTTTTTGTGGAATTTTCAAGCATTACCCTTGCCGTCCAGCTTCTCAAGCTCTTCATAGTCACGCATTTTGGCCCATTCTTTTCGTTGCGTGCCTTTTCAGCTCCGCACGTCTTTTGAAGGATCGTAAGGTTGCGAGGTAGGCACTTTGTTTTCTCTTCACTGCAGCTTGACATTTTTCATCTGACACTCGCAAAAAGCAATTGCTTCCATAATGGCTGTGATTGCAGCTTCTCGACGTCGCTCCTTCCTTGTGTTTTGTGCGTATCTTCGCTGATCCGAGCAGATTTTAGAAGCTCGGAATGTACGCACATCTAAAATAAATGATTCCTTGTGCTGGAATCTAGTACTACAGACAAACATGCTACGGACCTCGGCGAAGGCGATCAGCCTCAACCTATTTGGGTAGGTTTTGTCGTGGATGCTGAATTTTCTGACAGTTGTACCGAAGATGCCTTCTTTACCCACATTGGCGTTGATGTCGCCAAGCACATGAACATGGTGACAGGGCAGCACTCATAAGTATGCTCCAGGCGCTCATGAAAGGCATCCTTGGTTACATCGACTTCTTACTCTAATGTCTTGGCATGGCCGCAGATCAGCGTTGTGTTAAAAAATTTCGTTGTGCTGCGGATTGTGGTGAGTCCTTTATCCACGGGAGTGCGGTCCAGGAGTTTCTCTCCCACTACAAATCCGACACCAAATTTACGCTCTTTATATGGTCGCCGTAGTATATTTCACAGTGACCCGCCTTCTTCTGTCATTGTCCCGTCCATAACACTTCTTGGAAGGCGGTGATGTCAGCCTATACTTACGAGGGCATCAACCATCTAGGCAGAGGCAGCTTCCCAATTAAGGTACCGGACATTCCAGGTGCATGCCCTCAAATCCTTAAAACCTAGCACATAAAACTTATAACTAGGCTCTAAATTTATATTGGGGTGGGGAAATGCTGTTACTACTAATTAAGTTTCAATTGGTATAATTTTTATTTTTTATTCAGTTAAAAAAAATTTAAAGAAAAAAATGTATTATTTTGAAGAAAATGGAATAAAGCTCGACGCTTTAACTATTTTCTTCAGAAAATGCCACAAGTATAAATCGTGGCGGGTTTTTTCCCTTCACTTAAGGAAAAACGTGCTTTTTAGAAAGAATTTTGAATGTCTTCCAATAATATCTTTCTTTTTGACCATTTGCAGGCCATTTTCAATTTTTTGGTGGTTAATGAAAAATAAGCCTACTTCCACCCGCCCTCTGTGTTAACTTACTTTCCGCACGATTTCTTTTCAAAAAAAAAAAAGATGTTCGAAATAATAAAACTTTTTGGTATTAACATTCGCCTTGATTCAAAATAGTTAACAGTAACAGGCCTATTCTCACTGTTTCCGGTAAAGTGGTATTCTGGCGAGCTGGTTACAATGTTTGAAAAAACATTTTTCGCCCTTGTCGAATTACATTTTCCAGTTGGTAAAGTAAAAAAAAAAGAATATACCCATCGAAATGGAAGAAGGTGAGCAACAAAATAAACACGTTTTATTTATTTGTTTATTAATTTATAAATATTTGAACCTAATTACTAAAACTGAATGGAAACGATACGCCTTTTTACACTTTTTTCTTCATCTTCAATGAATTCCAGGCCTAAAATATGTCTACCCATTTTGATTATTATTTTTTATTTAACTAAAAACACAAAATCAAACAGCAGATTTTTTGTTTTCCTCCTATTTCGCTGGTCACAAAATTTACAGGGTGACCGTGAATTCAGAATACGAAATAGTAACAAAATCTACTGAATGGCAAATTTTAATACCAAAGTAAATTTTTCGAGGTGTACTCAAAAAGTATCGCGAATTTTGAATTTTCGCGGGTTACGTAAAATCGAATTTCGATTTTTTTGTGGCGTTATGTTGGTACTCATGTCTGTCGCTTATTCCGACAAGCTCGGCCATTTTGTATGTTCACTTAATTGTTGACAGCTGCTTTGCTTGCAGGTGTTTTGGATGGTCTTTCTATTCAAAAAATGGATCAAAGAACCCGTATCAAATTTTGTGTGAAAAACGAAATTAAGTGCGCGGATGTATTCCGAATGTTGACTGTGGCATACGTAGAAGCTACCTTGGACCGAAGCAACGTTTATCGGTGGTACAAAATGTTCTCAGAAGGCCGAGAAGATGTGAACGACGAAGATCGTGCCGGACGCCCGGGCACTTCAACAACAGACAAAAAAATTAATTGCAGGGGCGTGGTGCATCATGAGTTCTTGCCACTGGGTAGAACGGTCAATAAAGAATATACCTGCAAGTTATGCGCGACTTTTTGGCCAAAAACCACACACTAATGATGCCGCAGCCACCGTATTCCCCAGATCAGGCCCCCTGTGACTTTTTCTTGTTCCCTAAACTGAAGAGGTCCATGAAAGGACGACGTTACGCTACGGTTGACGAGATAAAGACGCCATCGAAGGAGGAGCTAAACAAGATAAAAAGAAATGATTTTTTGAAGTGCTTCGAAGATTGGAAAAACCGTTGGCGCAAGTGTATAATATCTCATGGGGATAACATTGAAAGGGACAAAATAGATATTCATAAATAAATAAATAATTTTTGAAAATAAACACAAAATTCGCGATATTTTTTGAGCACATCTCCTATTACCTCGACAGAATATACAGGCCTATTCTGTAGGCATTTGTATAATGAGCACTAGGATTTTCGTTATTTACGAAGTTAATTTTTTTTCTTTCTTTTCTCTAGATTTTATTTTAATAACCTAAAAGAAAATTTAAGACCAAAATCAGCTTTATTAAAAAACGCCAAATAGATTTTTTGATAAATTAAAAACCAAGCTAATTAAGCTAAGCTAACGTAATACTTACTTAAGCCCAAAAGCAAAGTTATCTTTGTAGACAATTATACTAATGAAAATTAAGTTAACAATAATTTTATTTATTTATGGCAAACCTCCGAGTCGTTTATAATCAATTTTTTCTAACTGAACCAATGGTTTCAACTGCTCCGCGAAAATTCGCATTTCATCTCCGATCGAATCTTGGCCATTGGGGGCAAGAACAGAAAGTTCAACGAGATAACTCTGAGAAACTGTTTCTGTACCCATTTCCTGTTGTTTTCCTGGAACTGCTTTGATTTTCGAGACCGTTATTTTCATTCTGCCTTTTCGGAAAATGTATCCTAAAAATTTTAACGTAATTAGTAAAGAATAATACATAGATGTAAGTTGATAATGTAATAATAAATAACAGAAAAAGTGAAATACTTATGTGAAATTTCATACTATATTAAGTTTTATTAGTTTCCTTAAATGATGACTTAGGAGTTATCGGCAGTTCTTTTTGTGAAGTGACAATTCTTGTCTCTTTTCATTTATTAATAACTAAAATAGTTTTTAATCTTCTTCTAATGTTTAAATAACAAAAAGATCACTCTTCTATACGGAATTGGACTAAGGACTGACCTATTCGAAAAAATTAAATTTTTGGTTATGTTTACATGGGAAAGGTGGTTTTTTGCTTCAGTCAACAGGGACTGGTCCATTCAAAAATTCGTACTTATGGCTCCTTTCTTTTGAAATTCAATTCATAGGTGGCTTTTTGCGAAAAAATTTATATTAATAGTTCTTTTAGCTTGAAATTTTTTACGAGAGGTGAATGGGTCTAATATTTAAAAAAATATGAATATGCATTATGCATTATGCGTATGCTTTCTTTTAGTTAAACTTTTTTGCCGTGCGAATGAAATTTTCAAATGATAAAAAGAGCGTTGCTTTAAATATATTTGTTGGTAAATTCCTCCCAAAAACAACTACATGGCGCCAAGTTTACAGCTACAGTATATCTGAACACTTGATCGTGGATATGTAGGTAAAAGGAAAAGTGAAAAACAACAATAAGTGAAAGCGGGATAACCGTTGGCTCGAGCTGTGGGCATCCCAAGTTCGAATCCAATTCAAACAAAGGTGTCTGGAAAAAGAAGTCTCATGAGGGAACGTGGTGGTTTCCGACAACTTCTACTGTCCAAAACTATTGCTGTAATTTTTTCACTATTTCCAAAAAATATATCGTCTGAAACAGTTCCATAAAAACCGAAAAACAATTCAACAGAGCAATGACCTGAAAAAGCATCTAGAAGTTTTTTTCTTTCTTTGGAAATATACCAGAAACATGGAAACAGTTTAATTTGCTCGAAATATAAATATCAATTTTTTAACGAAAAGTGATCACCGACAAATAGACAATCATTTTTATGATTGGGATATAAGCATCGTGCGCAGGTATTTTTGATTCGCATTTTTATTATTTTGCGGCTACAGGTTCAACTTGAGTGTGAATAAGCAAAGATCTGGATGGTGTGTGCACAATAACATTGCCTGTCTTTTCTCGGACGAGATCAATGCTTGCCTAAAATACTCAACGTTGCGGCGACATGTACAAACTCTGCAATTAACAACCAATATGAGTGTCAACACACAGTGATTCATTGGCCGATTTATTTTCACGTCAGTTTTTGCTAATTTTTCGGATTTCAGGGCGGATTATGTTACCCGATAACTTCTGTAATTTAGTGACGTCAAAAGTTTTGACTCACGAAGTATTCCCAAATATCCGAATCAATTATAGGATTCATGGGTAGCTCATTTAGTGGCCTATACTCGCTGCAACCAATTAAGATGGCTACGATCTCACTCATACTATTTAGAGTCCAACATTGAAAATAAATCCGTCACATATATACTATATGACGAGGTGTGACAATAAAGTAACGAGACTGATTATATTTACGCGATTTTGGTAACCCTGTCATCTTGAAATTCCTCCTTCTCCTCTCCATTGATATATTTGTCATCGCTCTAGCTTGTTTAGTTCGCCTGCTGTGTCGTGTTGAGTAAACGTGTGTTCGTCACGAAAATGGAAAAACGAAATCAAGAGCAACGCGTCGCGATAAAATTTTGCGCAAAATTCGGGGACTCTGCATCGGAAACGTACGCCAAAATTGTACAAGTGCATTCTGACTGTGCTCTGAGTCGCGCCCAGTTGTTTCGATGGCACAAAGAGTTTTATTGTTGGCATGAAAGCGTGGAAGACGAAGCGCGGAGCGGGACACCAGGCGAGGTGCACAAAAAATTTCTTTGATCGGTGCAAACCGTAAATCAATAGCCGAGTACTCGAAAGATTGCGAAAACAAGTCAACAGGGTGCACCCAGATAGACTTTATCACAACGCGCAGTGCCACAAGGCACTCAGCGTGTTCCGGTATTTGGCGCCTAAAGGAATCGCCGTGTTGCAACAACCGCCTTATTCGCACGATATGTCACCATGTGACTTTTTTTTGTTCTGAGTAATCTTAACATAAATAATGCACACAAATTCCAGAATTCAAGACATAAAAGTAAAAGAGATATAAAAATTCAAAAGACAGCAAATATTATGGTGTCAATTAATTGTTTGAAAATATAATTAAAACTGGGAAAATATAGCAGTGTTGGTATTAATAATTGGTATGATGGCCACTTGCATCTATAACAGCTCGAAGACGATGGGGCATGGACTGAATAAGGTTGTTTAAGTCATAATTTTCAGGTATTTTGTCCCACTCTTCCTGAATGACCTTAATAAGAGCGTTTTTATTAGTTGGGCCCCGTTTGTCCACTCGCTTCTTTAAAAAAAGCCCATACATTTGCTGCGGGGTTTAAGCCAGGACTCTGGGCAGGATTGTCAATCACTTTACTGCAATTATATAGTAGCCACGTCCTGCACAGCAATGATTTATGTTTAGGATCGTTAGGGCTTTCATGGTCAGCAAATCCAAATCTTATCGCACTCGTTGACAATTCGTTCTACAGAATGTCCAAGTAAAACTCCTTCGTCATCACGTAATTGAAAATTCGGATCTCACCAACACCTTTCGACGAAATGCAACCCCAAATCATTACAGAAAGCTTACCAAAATTTTACTTTTACTGTTGGAATTATATTTTTGTTACAAAGCTGTGTTGGGTTTTCACCTAACTTTACTGGGTCCATCATGATAGTATAACATTATTTTTGTCTCGCTGCAAAAAATAACGTCATTTCAGTATTCCGCAGTCCTGTAAACAATGGTAATAGAAAACAACAATGGTTTCTTTCTAGCTATTTGCGAGTAGTACTTGTGTATTCTTAAGACTTTTCGGATTGTCTCGTGGCTTACTGTTTTATGGCAATCATTTTTAATATTTAACGCCAATTTTCTCAAGGTGGTTTGAGGATTACCACTGATTTGCTTTAAAATTTTCAAATGATCCCGTCTAGAAAGTTTCGGTAGTCTACCTCCAGAGTGCTTTAATTCCAGCCTGTTTTCTTTTTGTGCGTGATTAATAATATTATAAATCGTTCATAGCTTGTTGGAAAACATTTCCACTAATTCCTTAGCCGATTTCCTTTGAGGTAGTTAAAATAAACTAGACAAGATCTGGACTGTCCAAAGCATTAATCGAATTGAATGTAGTAGAGCAACGCATAGCTATGACGCACACGCTCACTCGTTTTCAAATTTGTGGTACCGTTAAGTTACCTACGTTTTATTTTGAATTGTGTGTGCATTTTGCAAAGAGTTAATTGACAACGCCATATTTGGCGAATTTTAAATTTGTTATTTTTAACCGTTCGGTCTTAATGTTGGTTATTTCTGCGAGTGATATTTGTTAAGAATACTTAGATTAACAATACCAATTCAAAAAAATGGAAAATAAAATACTTTCACTCATAAAATTAATTTTGAAAAGAGATTTTTGTGATTTTTTCATTTTGCATACCATTAATTGACATACCGTATAAACTCCAACTTAGTCCTTAGCAACTTTAGATTTTGGAAGTTATTGCAAGATGATGTCCAACTATTAATTTCTCTAAGCATATTAGGCCGAAAATATTTAGACTGAATGAGACGTCGAGTTGTTCGAGCACTTAGTTGTGATAAAGAATGATTTTTTTCAAAAATAATTTTTCTCATTGAATCAGGCATATATGGCCATATATATAAATATTGATTTTGGATAGGTATGTACATTTATTTCTCTTAAATTACTATTTGCATTTGGATCTAAAATAAAATCTTTAAGAATTTCGTCTTTTTGTTGTTCCCCATTTAAATGTTGAAAATTTATTTCCTTTGTTGAAATTGAATTAAATTATGGGATGCGAAAAAGAGTATCGGCAATTTTATTATCTTTTCCACAAATGAATCTAATATCATTAGTAAATAAATATTCTAAATTTGATGAGAAGATCTATCTGCTCTAGAATTTAGAACATGTATCGATGGATTATGATCAGTATGAACAGAGAAAACTCTACCTTTGAGAAAACTTTTAAAGTATTTAATTGAGCTATATATTGCCAAAAGTTGTCTATCTAATGTTGAATAATTAATTTCAGTTGGACTTAATTTTCTTGCTAAATAAACTAATAGTTCTAATGTGCTATTACTTTTCTTTCTCAGGTCAAACAGCTCCGATTGCAACATTTAAAACATCTACTGTAATTGATAATTGAGCGTTTTTATCAAAATGTGTTAATAAAGTTTCTTTTTTACTTTTTCAAAAGCTTTTTAAGTTTCATGTGTCCAACTCAATTCTTGTAGTTTATTTTTAGTTGGATTCGTTTCACACAGAGGACTTAATTCTGCTGCTAACATTTTAATATACCTATGATAACAATAATAAAAAAAGGAGACCCCAATTACCGTGGGATAAGCCTCATTATAAGGTCCTGCCGAGAGTATTGTGTAAAAGGCTGAAGCCCACCGTCAACAAACTGATTGGACCTTACCAGTGTGGCTTCAGACCTGATAAATCAAATCATAGATCAATCAATAACCATGCGCCAAATCTTGGAAAACCCCGTGAAGAGAGGATCGACACTCACCACCTCCTCGTCGATTTTAAAGTCGCCATCGACAGCACGAATAGGAGCTGCCTTTATGCCGCTATGTCTGAATTTGGTATCGTCGCAAAACTTATACGGCTGTGTAAGCTGACGCTAGACAACACCAGAAGCGCAGTCAGAATTAAGAAGCACTTGCCGAGCCGCACCATATGAGCTTTCAGGCAGTGTGAATCTCTGTCGTGCGATTTCTTCAATTTGGTGCTGGAGAGAATAATAAGAGCCGCAGAGCTGAATGGAGAAGGTGTAATC